CCATTCACCTTGTGATGTTTTTGGGTTTTTTTACTTCAAATCCACCATCAATGAGTTTACATTTATTTATTATGCAAAGCACTTTTGATTTCAGTGTATTTCAATATTAAGTGACATCGAAGAAGAAATGCCTCCAGTTTAAAAAAATCTCAAGAGACTTTCCTGTTTGGGGGTGGAACTAAATGGTGTCAGTGCGAGCAAGATAAATATACAGAGGATATCAGTTTTTGACTGTTATTGTACAGAAAAAGGGCTGCTGAAGAATTTTTTTAGCCAATAAATTTTAGTCTTTACTCTTGGCAAGTCTTTCTTTAAAATATATAATAAATGTTGTGGATGTTTAATGTCCAAAGAGAAGAGAAGGGACATCCATTTTCGGAATTAGTCATAAAGGCCTCATATAATTTTATAATGCCTAGCTGTTGATGCCTTTCAAGATTACTGTTTAATACTGTGTTGTAAAAATGCAGAATAAAAATCAGTCCTTACACAAGACAGTTACAGCCTATGCACATTTATCTCAGAAGGTCTGAGCTGACCCGCTTAGTAACTGGAGCTCTATTTTAGTGGCGTGTAGGTGTTTAAAAAGTGTTTATACCACAAAGCTGCCCCCTCCAGACGACAAACCAGCTACATTCGCAGTATGCTGACAGATAAACAGAGAACAACTCCCCCACTAAATACATTAAACAATAATGGCATAAGATTAATGTAGGACAATAATTTTAACATCAATTAAAACTACTAGTGAAAGTAACAATCTGTTTGGGTAATGCATTTCAGCTTGCCAGTTTTTTGCAACAACATTAGAAAGAATTATAAAGCAACTAATGCTTGATTAGAAACATATGTTTCTGGAATGCACAAAATGAGAAGAAAGAGAATTTTTAGGTGGAGGGTTATGTTGTTTATTTCCTAAAGTTATTGTGGTTTTTGCAGGTGGGCATTTTATTGTGGCAGAATGTGAAAGGGTTACTACATACAACATACATTTACCTTGCCTTTTATATTCAAGGCTTCACTCAATCTGCTACTGCCATGGAGAAATCATGTAACCACTTACACATCCTGTCAATTTGATTCTATAGCAATTCTTGGTTTCATCTGAACTTAAATATATGGTAAGTCTGAGCTGGAGTCATGACAGCATTAAATTAACCTGGGTACAATACAATGGGAAAATATCTATTCAAAGGAACTTATTTCATTGTGTATTTTACCCCTAGTATTATCTTTTCACTACTGCACTATTATGAGATAGTGAAATGTGAAATGTGTAGGTTCTTAGAAATGTATATCCAAATATATTTAAAATGTAGAATGTTTATTTTCAAGATGAAGAAGCGACTTAATATACAATGTAATAATGGAATTAAAAAACAAAAACAGTGTGATACGTGTCATCAAAGACAGGATTGAATTTTTTTTAAATTAAATTCTAAAAAAATTTATTTTTGTCATATTTCTTACAACTAGTTAGTTGGAATGAGTAGAACTCTTCAAACACATTATTATTTGTGATATTAAGAAATGTATTCATTAAATTCCATTTACAAGTGAATTGAGTGGTGCTTCAGGGTCCAAGATTTCAAACTGACCAACATTTTGATGCCATGTCAAAACTGCACCATCACGTTTTTCCTTCTCATTTGGCTCCCTTAGTTTGTAAACTACAGAGCCTGAAACATACCCGAGGAGCCTGGCTTTTAGCTTTGAATCACAGAAGCAAAAAGCACATCTCCAGCTGCTTCCACCTATTGATCCACTCTTATTGTGCCGAAATACTTCTTGAAGACAGTGTAGCTGAATATTAAACAAAATGATACAACCTCTTTGGAAATCAGTGTCAAGATCCTCAAAGAGGAGGTAGAATCAGCACTTTAAAACTTTACTTGTTATTTGGGTCATGCATTCCTGCATAACCCCTGAACTGCTGTTCACAGAGAAATTCAAGTTGGTACCAGTGGGGAAGATCTTTAAAGGTGAGGGTGATCAACGCCTAAAAATTTTACTAGGGTGTTTTACAGAACTCTCCATCACTGACTACTTCAAAGTCAGGATGAGTTGTTTTTTCACAATAAAAAAAAAAAAAAAAAAAAAAAAAAACAAAACAACAACAAAAACAAACAAACAAAAAAAAACCCCACAGAAAACAAAACAAAAGGAAAACAAAATCTGAATAATGTCTTTTTAAAAAGCTATTTCCAGTATTGATGCATTTCTCCTGGACATCTTGGCTTCAGTATGCCCAGGAGATGATCCCTGTAGGATGATTGACATCAAGCTGTAGCTTGGTGCTCCTCTACAAACTGACAAAACGGTTTTATCTTGCATCCAGTAGGGCCACCTCAAAGAAACATGTAAAGGGAGATTATAGGTTCTGCTTTACAGGTATAAATGACAATTAATTTTGTTGAAGCCAAAGATGATTCAAGTCTAAAAGAAATGCAGTGGCTAATATAGCTGAGAAAAGAAACAGTTTGACTGCACGAATACTTTTTTTTCTGGTTATGATTTACTCTAGCAGTATATCTCTGTCCAGATCATGCCCTGCCATTGTGACTACAAGCACTTTTAGAATTCCATTTTTGAGAAAAAGCCAATCAAGTGCCTCTGAACGTACCACTGAGTACTGCAGCTGGGAAAGAGTACACTCTTTTGGTGTACGTTTGGGAAACTGATCTCTTTCTTCAGAGTTTCTGAGAGAGATGGAATGGGGAAAAAAGGAAAAAATATGCTTTTCCACAACTTCCTCCCAATACGCTGATATGATTCTCTTCCCCATTAGTGATAGCCTCTATTACAAAGACTTATCTTCCAGTGATTACATGCAGTATATTTCACATCTGGTACTACCAGAATGGCTTAAAATGGGATATGACAGAGTGCATGACGAAAGAGAGATGACAGAAATCCCTCCGTCACTGAAGAGTCAGCCAGGGCACCGAGCATGGTCATGGTCAAAATTTTCAGCCACCAGTTGTAAGTGCAATAATTCGAGAAATGTTTTGCAAACAGCATTAATCCTGGTAGAAATGGCTGAAAAACCCTGCTTGGGTTTTCCTTCATGGAAGAGTTGAGAAGTGACAATTATGGAGAGTCTGCTTTCAAGAAGAAATAATGCATGACTAGTCAAGATAATGAAAAAAATGAAGAGGGATTTGCAATTATTTTAAAATATCAGAATGTTGTAATATCATAAAGAGAAATGACCCTAACAAATAAATTACAGAGATATTACTTACTCCTAACAACTCAAAATGAGTTTGACTTGCTGTTTGATTTGCTCTTCATTCTTATTTGAAAACCAGTTTTATTTACTTGGGTTTATTTATCATTCTTGCTTCTGCAGAAAAAGCAATTGTGCCAAAAAATCCCATTAGACTGCAATAGCTATAGTCTTTCGAGTTAATCCTCACTATTGTCCATCCACAATATGTAGTATTGCTTACCTCACACACAGGCAAAAAAGCCTTTGGAAAGAAATGTAACTTTATGGCTTTTCTTCCAAACCACAACAAACGGGGGAAAAATACTTCATTATAATGAATTTCTCTCTCTAAATGTGGTCAATAGAAAGATTTCACCCTTCTTGAACCAAAACAAATTATATAAGATTTTTCTTTTATTTTGACTCCTAAAATAGAGCATTACTAGGATCAGCAGAATACGACTTCAGTTTTCTCTTGGGAAAGAAACGGAAGCCCATTATTAAATATCACTGCTATATGCATGTTTGAGAAAAAAAAAAAAGTCTTTCTCAAGTCCAGCTCTCCATTCCTAATTTGGTTTTGATAATTGGATCTAACTTAGTACTTCCATACTGGCACAAGTCCTGTTTCTGATACTTATTTTTTTCCAGATGGATAGCAACACACAAATTAACTTCATCAAAATAAATCTCTACCTATAGACCTTCTAACAGGAAAAAGCATTTTTTTGTACTGTAATTAAACATTTGTACTTGTCTTGCCCAGATAGGTATATGAAATCATATTATTTTCCTATTTTTCTTATTCTAAGTTGTATTTAAACTATACAATATAGCTTCCCTTTTGTATTTATCACAGCTTCTCTTTAAATCTTTTAAATTTTGGCTTTCCCCTCCTCCCAAAGTTACATTGTATTGACATTTAAATCAAGAAAATTAACATTTCCCTATCACCATGAAGTAACAAGATGCAGCCCTTTGATAGCAAGCACTTTCATGTCCCATTAACCCATATACTCTCAGGAGTTTGTTATAACAACATTGGAGGTTATTTAATTGAGTTGATTCATTGCATACTTTGAAGAACTGGCAGAAATCAGTATGAGTTGTCAGTGGTGCCTCTCCAACGCTGAGCTGATCGCAGTAAAAGGTGATGTGGATGGCAGGAGGACACCTCTCTAGAGTGGAGGTTTCTATCACCATAATGCCATTACAAAAACAAGTAGCTCATAGAGCCTACTACCAGCCTTGCTGCCCCAACAACAACAAAAGTGCTTTGATTTTTTTGTGGGTCTTAACAGCTTATCAGCTCTTTAAGCCTCTTCTGCACCCCATTTTTTGACTATATAAGAACAGAAACACCTTAAGCTCAACAAGTAGTAGGGAAGCTTGTCAATTCTGAAATGAGTATTTCTCATGTGTAATAATAGGGCTACAGCATCTATTTCTTCTGTGATTTCAAGCATCTTCAAAGAGAGACACAATCACCTTCTTGCAACGCGTAAGTTGTCTTTTTCTCTTCCTTTACAATATGATCTTATATAAAAAGTTGTTAGGGTCTTTTTCCTAGCCTGTGTTCCTTTTTTCACCTCTCATCAGACTTTGAAGTGACTAAAGGAAGAATGTGACACACACAACACAGAACTCTGAGGGAATTTTAAATTTTAAAAATTCTTCATGTTAAAAAAAAAAAAATACACATTCCAAAAACCCCCAGACTACCCACTAACTGCACCACAAATAACATGGAACACCAGGTTGTTATTGAAAGCCAAAAATAAACCAGACCAACTACTGATTAAATATTTATTAATAAAAAATCTTAGCATAAAAAAGCTCATTCTGTACACTTAAAGGACAAAGATGAAACTATACAATAGCAGTAAAGTAAGACACATAACAAGTTAAAGACCCTTGAAATTATGCTTTCAGAATTGTGTTCTTGTCTGTTGTCACCTGCCATGCATTTATTGTTTTCATGGAGACTGTAAGCCTCCTGAAGAAGCCACTTGATACACTTTGAAGTTATGCACAGCCATGACAATCATTAACCCATAGTAAAAACATGTTGGTTACATTAATATTTGCTACTGTTAGTTCATCCAGTGATGAACAAACATCAGGCAGGTTTACTGATAATACATCAAAGAGTTGCATAGATAATTGATATAAATTTTATCATCCAGCCAAATACATTATTTGCCATATTCTCTGATGCATTTCAGTTGTACCTGGTAGAATAAGTAACCTGATGTACTAATTAGCTTCATTTGGTCTTCAGCATTGCAATATTACAGTGTCTTTCAAGAACACGAATCACAACAAAGGTTGACTTGGATAATAACAGTGTCATTACCTTGAGTGGAACACTTTGCCAGATCTAGCACATAACTAAGCTGACAGAGAGCAGAATATTGATAGAGTTAGTCACCTAAGAACAAGTAGCTCTTCAAGCCACAACAAAGTGAGTGAGAGAAATCTAGAACAGAGCTGGGAGTATGAACTCTGATTAAGGTTTCTTTTGTCCTTGGAAAATGTCAGTGTCCACTAGGATTACTGGTTCCTTGTCCATCTCCTATATTCTGTCCTCAGAAACCAACATGCATAGATATGAATGAAAGTTGTACCTGGGTATTTGAGGTTAGGATCTATGCACCCTGCTTGACCAAAGAGACCAAACAGATTACTGTTTCTTCATGTAACTGGGCTTTCTAAAATCAAAGCAATTGACAATCATTCTTGTAAACTTACTCTCTGTAACTGGTACACAAATACTTGATGGAAGACATGTATCATATAGCAGTCCTACTCCGGACTATAGATCTGAATCTTTGTATCAGTGTGACTGCCTGTAGAGCTGATATCTTAAAGGTAACTTAACCCATTGCAAAGTCATCCAATACAGATTCTTCTCCTAAACCTACAATCTTACCTTTATTGTAATTTTTTCTCTAATTATTCAGTTAATCTGGATATTTAATCCTGGTTACTTCCATTAGAGAGACATCTCAAATTATACAATTCTGTAAAGAACACGGTGGGCCATGGACATATCCATTAAGCAATACCATTTAAGCTACTGAAAAATATTTTGAAAATACACTTTTCCACTTTCCTAAAGGTTTTGTTTTCTTCTCGCAGCTGAACCCAGACATTAGGAAGATCCCAAGCCTCTTGGAAAAACAGGTCTGTATATAGCATCTCAGTCAGTAAGGCCATCACATTGTTCTTTCAACTATTGGTACTGCAGAAATACATATAAAACTGTTATGAGTAGAATTTTCATTGTATTTTCCTCAAAGATATTTATCTGTTTAAGTATTTTCAAATGCATTCATATTATCTTTTTAACATAAAGTAAAATGGGTAAACTGTATAAATGGGTGTGCAAGTTCTATGGGTAGAAGATTAAATAAATAGCACCATAAATGTGAAACAGTAACAGACTGTAACACCTTCATAATGTGTAGTAGCATATGATTCCATTTATTAAAATGAAAACACAGGAAGCTTCTATAGCCTTGAACAAAAGATACTCCAAGTGTAAGTCATGAAAATAGCATTGCACCCTCCAGAGGGTTTTAGTGGATTATGACTTGTTTAGTAACAGTTTGAGCAAAAGGAAAATGCAGCAAGTTATCCTCACCATTGTAAAAACAGAACTCACCTGCTTGCTGATAGCGTTTTTCTGCCAACAGGTGGTGGAGATGGTTCACTATGGAAGAAGCTTTTTATCCACCAATATTTATCAATTAAGTCAGGTAACCCTGCCAAAGGAGAAAAAGACCACATTATTAGATACTGTCTGAATAACAAACAGGCAAAACTGAAGACTATTTCAAAGAAGGGAAGAATACCATGAAATATTTTTTCCTGGTCTGTAACGTTCGTGGCATCTGAACAGCAGGAGGAGCTGGAAGAAACACTGGATTCAGAGTTCAGTCTTGCTGTTCATGGAAAACAGAGACACATAATTTAAAAAGTGCTTTGAAAGCCTGCACTATTTCTATGTCAAAAGTTTTTCAGACCTGCTGCTATATTGAAGGAATCAAGTTTACTGAGCTACAGAGTATAACTTCTGTATTATATACACCATTCTACTACAGTTGTTTTTATAAAAACTTTTTTATCAGTTACTCTCTCAGTCTACTTTGCTTCACTTAAAAGCATACTGATATCTATTTGGATAACTTTCACCAAAATTACTGAAAAAGCTTATGATCCTCCACATTGCTATCAAAACAAGAAAGTCTATACTTGAACATTCAAGCCCAAAACAACCTAATTGCTATAGTTTCCATTGTAATACAACCATATACTACACTCACACAACAGTGTCCATCCTGTACAATGGAATCCTAATACACCACATGTACTCTCAAACTGGTGATTATTTCACATATTTAGAAACAAAATGTGAATTGATTTTGTGTTGTGTTTAAGCTTGCAAAGTAAACACGAAGCACAGGTAGAAGCTGTGAACAGGTGAATAACCAGAAGCAAATGCTCATTAACACTAAGTTCCTTGGTATGAAAACCTCTCCAAGAAATTAAAAACTACTGCACAAAGACATGCCTTTGCCTCTAGCTCATCCAGACATCATCTGAAACACTTTCTGACCTTTCCCGAGTGCCAACAACCCGGGCATCTCCTCGGGAGAGGCTCGGTGAGCTCAGCCTCCCTTAGTCCGAGAGAAGGGAAGAGGGGGAGAAGAATGGAGGGTGTGTTTGGGGACGACAGGCAGCTCCCAGCCCCCCTGAACACTCACTTCTGTAGTACTGGTTCTTGGCCAGGAGGCAGCCGGCGGAGGGTACTGAGGCCATGGCAGCGGCGCAGTTGGGAATCCGCCTCTTTTCCGAGAGGAGACCGCGGGTGGAAGGATGCGCTGTGCCACTGGCAACCCGAGCCGCCCCTATATGGGTCACGGCGGGCGGCCCGCCCAGGAGGCGGTGGGGTGGGACGGAAGAGAGCGAGGGAAGGAAAGGAGAGAGCGAGGGAGGAGGAGAAGGAGAGCGAGAGCCTCTGGCTGCTGTCGCCTAGCCCTTGCTCGGGTCGTCCCGGAGAGCCGCGGAGAGCCCCGCGTCCCCGCCCCGATCCCCTCGGTCTCTCTTCCTGCCTGTCATCTCTGAGCGCTTCTCTGGAGTGCCACGGGCGGGGACTAAGAGCTGCAGCTTTCGTTATTCTCTGTGGGGAATGGGAAGAGAGGAGTGAGCAGACAGGCACCTGTTTCGTTAGGGATTTTTGGCTATGCCAAAACATGGCTGTTTAGAACATGACTGTGCATATACACTAAAGAAAGTGAGGCCAGAGGAATGATGTCCACTCTCACGGTAATGAGCAAAACCCACGAGCACAGTCTTGGTAAAAAACTTGGTAATCCAAGATAGATAACAAAATGACTTTTACTTTCCCACAGATAAATGCACAGCTCCTTTACATTGTTGCAATCCCATATCGTGGCAAAACTTGTCCCACAGTGTGTGTCCTTATCTTGCATAATGATCAACAGAAAAAGTAACAAACAGCTTTGGCTATTTGACTTTCTCCTGCTCCACAACAAAATGTTTGTTCTCTTTTTTTTTTCCTAGCAGGAGCTGTGGGTAAGAACGGAGCCATATGTGGTGTGAGATACCATGTCACTGCCACGTATCTGCTTAAATACTGCGTTCTATCTCAAATGATAAGGACATAGTTCATAATAGCTCCTAGCATATTTGTAAGGGTATAAGTATACCACAGGGAAACTTCCTGTAAAACAATACTCATACAGCAGTTGTAACAGATAAGCATTGTGTATTTTCCTAGGCCTTTTTATTGACCTTCTATCATGACAACGTTGTGGTCTTTCCCAAGCAAAGCTTGAAGGCTCATCTTTGTGAAATCTGCGAGATTGACACAGAAAATACTTTGCAGATGGTTTGGTACCAAGCACGAGCACCAGTTACCTCATATGTTTATCTTGTTATGTCAAAAAGCACTGTAAGAGTAAAAATTACATCCCTACTACTTGGTAATGGACACCTAAATGTAACTGAACTATTAGCTTGTCATACAGCAATCACCTCTTTTCCTGTCTTAATAGTGAATTTCCATTTTGAAATGGTCAACATTTCTTGTTCTATTTGTGGGCAATAAACATTTGCACCAACATAAATGCCCTCAGACTGAGCACTCTGTATAACTGTCAGATCCATTCCATCAAAGAAGAGAAGCTTCTCCCCCAAGAGCCATAGGAAGTGCTCCTCTCGGACCATGGTAGTGGGCGTTTGTAGTGATAACGCTGTGTTCTAGACGGAGCTAGTAACATTATCAAGAATAGCATCTGTCATTCTCTTTCAGCTCTGAAATCCTGTTTAAATCTACTCATACGTTTGTCAAGGACACTATTAGAAAAGCTGTTTAGGCTTTAACATACCCATGGTCTAGGCACTGTGTTTGGCAAGAACACTGACTTAAATAGTACTCTTGCAAACACCACAACATTTTGGAGCCATGCCAGAACACTCAAGAGCTGGGGAACACCAGGTCTGTGAAATTTTTAATTGCTTCCCTGCTGCATGCATATTATTTTACTATATCATTTAACATACATGGCCATTTACCAGTTTTGTTCTGGAGATTTCTCTCATGCATTGCACTGGAACAGAAAGCACTTATTTAATGAGAAATTTTCCATCACTTCTCTCACTCGATCTGGCATTATGTTCTATCTCTTAGATTTTCTTCAAGTAAGAATGCAGAATTTTCTGAATGTAGAACTACAGATTTCACCAGGGTTTTTTCTTACAGGGTCATTCTGGCAGAGTGCTTCTAAAACACTGGCACATTTATTTTAAAGCACTGCTACAAAACCAAGGCATGCTATTATCTTCAGTTAACACATGGGAATTCTGAGATCCAAAGGAGATAAGATAAAAGAATCCAGAAATCTTAGGTGTCTCATATGAGAGCTGTCTAGGCCTTTATTTTTTTATAACTATTTAGCACTTTGCCATACTTCATTTACTCACTTTTAACTGTCATTCACTTCAGATCCAGATTTAAGTACTCAGTGTGTTGATAAATCAGATTCTCATCAGACATTGAAAAAAATGGTTAGTGGCTACCTATGATAAATGTAAGTAACTCACATAGCATCAATTACAAACTCAGGGGCAAGGTTACAATTTAGCTTTCAAGGCAGCATTCAATTGCCTTGTCCACTGACCTGTTCTTTTCTCCCTGGAAGCCTTTGTTGCATCACTACTCAAATTCTGTCACAAATATGGATGAAATCCTACTAAATGCCTACCATAATCTCTTTAACATTACAAACTCAGTTCATATCCCTGACTCATGCAAAAACAGGCAAGGGCCCTATGAAATAAATAAAACATAACATGCAATTTTATAAAAATGCATTTACAGAACATATACATTTCCAGCCTTTTGCCTGACTAATATTGTGACCTTAACAATGGTGTTCATTTAACATTTGTGTATGCTTAACTATAACAGGGCACAACACTGAAGTATATGTGATCCCATGAAACACGGACACTTATCAAAACAGTAACTTAAATTTAAAAATTGAATCAATATGACTCATTAAATAAATAGGTCTCCCACCTAATTCTGCCAGGATTACCTGGTGTAACCCTTTATTAGTCATGAAAAGTAAAACATCACAGTCACAACAACAAAACCAAACAAACAGTTTATATTAAGCTTGACCTTAAAGCTGACCTGTTAATTATTCACTAGACAAGGTTTATCTAATAAACTTGCCTACTCTTTCACTTCCTGGAATATCTGTAAGCATGATGCCCATCTTTCTGGGGACTTGTTTTTGGTGTTTTCTTTCCATGAACTTTTGTGAAAATTTTTTAATTTTCCTTGTTACTTAAACTTCTGTAAGTGTAGTGTAGCATCAGAAACTGTAGAGAGCTGCTTCATTGCTGTGTTCTTTGAATGATTGTGTGGGTACTCTAATAATGTTTTGAGAGATGTGAACAATTTGAGTGAAAGTATCTTTCCACATGGATATGCAGAAAGACACTGTTTTGGAACATGAGGATGGAATATTCCCACATAACAAGCTTCTGTAAGAGCAGATTTTGCATCTTTTTATTAATAAGTCTTATTACCCATATGCAATTAGCATTTCAATCAAATTTTTTAAAAAAATTATTAATCATCATTAATCATTCTTATTTTAAGGGAATTGTGTCATAAGATGACTCTCCATGAGAAGACTGAACTTTCCTGGGTAGTATTTTGTAATGGGTGTATTAACATTTTTAGAGAATTTTCAGAAATGTTTCCTTCATGGATCTTTCTGTGACTCTAATTATTCGCTATCTCAACAAATTATTTTGCATACCTGTTCTGTGAAATTTTGGAAGGAGTCTGTAAAGAGGCTTTCATTGAAGAAATTAAGTACTTCCACTATATAAAGTAACAAAACTTTGCTATGCAAAAAGTATTATTGAAACCTGTTTGGTTTGTTAGCTACTTCCAAGGACCAGTGTCATCACTTACCATTTTCATTCATTTGTTTTACTCCAAGTCAAACAGCTCAGCAGGAATGCAGGGCTCATCTATCAAAACCAAGAGAATCTGAGGTATTGATGAAGAATTAAATGGCAGAGTAAGAGTTGGGAGGGGAATGGAAATTTATGTTGCATGTGGCCTGCAAAAGAGACACAGGACCATAAAGCTGCTTGGGAGAATCTGAGCATAGAAGGGACAAAAAAGGCCTTTTTCTTCATCACTGCAGTGTGTGGCACCACTGCAAATCATCAGCTTTGTAGTAATGACCACTCCTGGTAGTGAAAGCAGGTCCTTACCGGGAGTTCTGGCGCTTGCATTCATTGTTAATTTAGGAGCTTATTCTGCTGCAGTGAATGGGAACTCACACCTAAGAAGAAGAAAATGACAGTTATCTTAGCCCTACATATGTCACAAATGTCTGCTGATTTAATGAAAACCATGTTATCAGGAGGACCAAATAGCCTGGCATAGAGGGCTCATTCTTTAACATCTTGTTCTCCTTTTGTCTCCTCCAAAGCCACTATAGAGTAAACACACACGGTATGTCCTTGCATATCTCCATCTTCTTTATTGCATTAAACACATCCAGCATGTCATTCATATGTCTCAGGTACCTGCTCCATTTTTACTGGGACATCTGAAGAAACATGCAGGTGTTAATCCACTCGCAAATCACACCAGCATGCAGAGGAGGAGCGCTGGCTGTGTAGGACTTATCACACAACAACATCAGGTCAGATCTTCAGTTCATCATACTTGTTATTTCCTTCTTCTCCCACAATTTAACCTATTGGCCTCAGAAGTGCTAACACCGTCAGGACTGACCCAGAGACTCCGCCATTTTTTCTAGAGTTCCACACGCTTAGAATTTGTCTGAACTAGTAGTTTAAATACGCTTGGTACCATTCTTTGGCCCTGAAGACAACTGGTATAGAATGGTCTCTAGCCACATTGTTTTATACTGCAAAGTAATATGTTTACATCCAAAATGTTTGCGACGAATTGTCTCTTGCTTGTGTTAATTCCCATTAACTGCTGGGACTTTTTTGGGAAGAAGCCAGAGAAAACCCTAAGCCGTTCCAGGACCTTTTCAATATTTTAATAGCATGAACAGTCATGTTCTGTTCCCTGACAAGGTACCCTGGTATTAATTCTAGGGTTAGTTAATTTGATGTGATGTTACTGCTGCCTAGTGTAAGAAATCCAGAGCCTGATAAGCTGGCAAACAAATGAGTCTCTTCTGGGCATCCATCTGCAAACATACCATGTTGAACATTTCCGTGTAGATGGCTAATTAGGGTCCAGTTATTGTATTTCCTTAGATCTTAATCTAATACAGTTTCCTTCTCCACGAATGCTGCTGGTGAAAAGTCTTTCGCTCAGGCTGCTACAGTGCCGAGTCTTAGTCCAGCAAGAGCTGGAGCACAGTCCCATTCAGACAACTGGGAGTGTTTTCTGCCTTAAATATGCAACATGTTAACAATAAAAAATGGAGAACAGGTACTGCCAATCTCTGCTTCTGTGACAATTTAGGAAAAAAAAAAAGAGAGAGAGAGAAAAGAACCATAAAAGCCACTTCTTTGGGAAACCATTCTTCCCGGTCTCAGTCCAAACTGACACCAGTGCTGAGCCTCTAAGCATGACATACTGATACTACACTTCAAGCTGACTTCATGAGAAAGGAAAGGCAGCCAAGCTGAGCACTTCACAAGATAAAAGTGCCTAGCATCCCAGCAGAATTTACTCTTACTACAAACTCATCTGACTGGCAATGAAGGCATAGTTGGCAGCATTTCCTGGAGCTGAGGAAAGACAATGAGGGACTTCTTCACATCCCCTTGTCTACACATCCTCATGTTTATCTCTGGAAGCTCTTGCTGACATGATTTGTTTGTTATGTGATGTACTGTGCATCTTATCTGCATGCTCTTGTTTTCCTATCTTGCTTTGCTTTCCTAAGTTTGTAATTGGTCTTTGACCTAGCTTTCCCTTATCCTGTTTGGATAAAAGTGTTTGAACTGTTAAGGGTCTATTGATCCATCTTGTCTTTCAAAGTAATTCTAGGGCTCCTAAGGCTTCGTCTCCTTGCATGACCAGCTCCTACAAGGCGGTACAACAATCTCTCATGAAATTCAGGGTCCCAAAATAGAAGACAGCATAAAGAACAGAGTGAGGAACTCCAAAAGGATGAGAAAGGCTTTCAGAAAAGGAGAAAGAAATATGGCCCAGATAGAGACTGCATTTTTGAACTGGAAACTTAGTTTTAACAGTTAGAGGTATCTTTCTCAGGTATGCCAGAACCCAAGATCTGAAGGTCACAACCTTTGGTCAGACTAGCAGAAAATTACTCTCTTTCCATTCAAGACAGGAAAAACGTTATATTTCACAGAATCACAGAATAGGTTGGGGGCACAGATAGCCATGAGGGAAGACTCCTAATTGAAGATTTTATCTTTCTTTTCAGCAAATCCAGAGTAACCATAGAGAACAGGGCCTCTTCTTTTGAATGTGCTTCATAGTTTCAGGATGTGAATGTGGCAGACAGATTTAAATAAATAAATATACTACAAATTCTGCAATGAAAACCCACAAACATCCCACCAAATTGGGGCCATAATGCGGATGTAATTGGTTTGTCTGTGTCAGGATATACTGTTTGCATGCAATTGAGAACCTAAGGTCATATTCACTACAGCTAAACCAGTACAGATAAAGCTCAAAACTGTATAAGTACAGGTTTACAGTCCTAGAAACACAGAAGAGGAAATGAAAGATGGCAAGGGATCCATTAATCCAGAGTTTCTCCAAAATTTAATAGATCATACATGTCCAAAAAAATACAATGCTGCAATTGAAACTGTATAATAAGCCTTTCATAACTGTGCACTGCTCAGCATTAACAATTCACAAATCTTGTGATACAGACTTCTCAGAGGCTTTGGTATAGAAGTTTATCATCTGCAACACAGGCAGCAAGCAGGAGGAAATCAGGGATGATAGTCAGCCTTAGCTCACATTCAGAGGGTAGTGGTAAATGACTGAGTCCCAGTCGACACCAGTGACAAGTGGTGTCACTTAGGGGTCTGTGTTTTAACCAGCTATTTAATATCTTCATTAATGACATAGGCAAAGGAATCAAGTGCACCTCGGCAAATTTGCAGGTGACACAAAGCTGAGTGGTGTGGTTGACACACTTGAATGACAGGATGCCATCCAGAGACACCTGGAAACTTAGGGGTGACCTAATTGTTGCCTTTTGGTACCTGAAGGGAGCCTACAAGAAAGATGGAGAGGGACTTTTCACAAGAGCATGTAGTGACAGGGCAAGGGAGAATGGCTTCAAACTGAGAGTAGCTTTAGATTAGATATTAGGAAGAAATTCTTTACTGTGAAGTTGGTGAGACAGTGGAACAGGCTACCCAGAAAAGTTGTGGATACCCCATTCCTGAAACTGTCCAAGGCCAAGCTGGATGTTTATCTGAACAACCTGGTATAGTGGAAAGTGTCCCTGCCCATGGCAGGGAGTTGGAACTTAATGACCTTTAAGGTCCATTTTAACCCAAACAATTCTATGATTCTATGATGTTTTATACATACGTTTAATTCTTTCAGTCACTGAAAACAAAATACTGACTATTTAATAACACAGTACCACTACTGTAGTTTATAATAGAATGAAAATTGTTGTCTGCGGATTGTCAGCTCAAGAGAAGCAATAGATTTGTTGTTTTTGATTAAAAGTTGCCATTTACAATGATGATAACGGTTATGATTGAGTGATTATTTGTTGACATGAGTAACTGTCACAAGTTCTTTCCATGTGAAATTGATATGGTAACACAGATAAAATTCCACTATGCAACTGATATTGCCTGGATCCATTTTGACAGCCTGAGCAAATGACCGAAGAAATGAGGAGATCCTATCATTTCACATCTAATCCTAATTGTTTTAGAATAAGAGTAATAAGAATACCATGTAAAACGGGAGATTTGCGCTGCCAGCATCCAATGTGGTGCTAATAATGCCAAGGTTGTGGGTTCAATCCCTGTATGGGCCATTTGCTTAACAGTTGGACTTGATGATCCTTGTGGGTCCCTTTCAACTCGGAATATCCTGTGATACTCTGTCTATGAAAAGAAGGCCATCAGAGACTTTTATGTGGAAATAGATATACGCTTTTCAAACATTTGCCTTTTTTTGATACCTGCAATTATCTACAAGTCCCATTAAATGCTTGAAGATCTCATTATTATCCACAAATGAGCCATGCAGTGTCTTGACCTACTCTGTGCTTCCAGAAGGCAGGCTCTCTTCAGGACAGAAAAACTATGTGATCAAATCCTTCATTGTCTGTCTTCATCCCTGACAAATTCTGTAAATTCTCAGTCAATATAAAATATCAAGCTCAAATGATTGAGGCTTCATGTTGCATCATTATGGGTTAAGTTTTCTTTCTCATTTTGTAACGAACTTTGCTCTCCCACCAGAGAAAAGTGGGAGCAAAAGAAGCCGGTAGAAGTGCTGGATAAATTTTACATATCATTGTCAGAACAAATGCAGACAATAGATTATTTGAACACAGCAAGAGAATCTAGAAATATCTAGAACAGCGTTATGCAACTCTGAAAAAATCTCCTCCGCTTGGTTCACTTGCCTCCCCTAGATTTTCCAGCAGCTAAGATGCTCCCTATCAGTCCATATCAGCCCATATCTTATAATTGGCTAAAAGTATTCATATTCACTCCTTCACTTTGGAGAAAATGAACTGCTGTCAGCAGTTTAGGGTTGTTATCAATCCTGCAGCCATGAGTCATCGCTTGTTACTGCAACAGCTACTGCCAATCTGAGAAAGAACTGCTGCCACATGATATTTGACCAATCCACGTTAAGCCCTTTCAGGACAGCCAGAAAGGTACTGGCCTGCAGTTTGGAAAATAATTGTTAAAAAGAGCAGCTTCCCATTATAGCTACAGTTTTCTTACACGTCACCTTTGGGAAAAAGTAGTTCTATGTGTCTGAAAGAGCTTTGGTATTGGAGCTGGGTCATGCACAGCAAGGTTGAAGTTAAGCAAGCTGCCAGAACAAAGTCATTTACTCAGCATTGGCTTCAGCTCTCACACATCTGCTGCATAACTCACCAGCTTGGTGCTGTCAGCCTTTGGAAGGACCAGTGCCTGAACAGAATACAAGAGGAGTATTTCTAAATACTTCTGAGGATCTGGGTACAGGTATTTTTTGGTTTAACAACAGAGCTCTAGCTCTGTAATCTCATTTGGGTAACCCAAACACCTGATGTTAAAGCTTCTTTTATGAATATTATTGGAGACACTCATTCTCAAAAACCCACTTTTGTATTTTATTTCC